AGAGGAGAAAATAGAGATATATAACACCACACCACAGGGAAAGATGAGAGAGAGAGAAGAGAGAGAGAGAGAGGAGAGAGAGAGAGAGAGAGAGAAGAGAGAGAGAAGAGAGAGAAGAGAGAGAGAAGAGGAGAGAGAGAGGAGAGAGAGAGAGAGAGAGAGAGAGAGAGAGAGAGAGAGAGGAGCAAATGACAAGAAAAAAAGATCACATGACACACGCCGAGCCCGAGGGCGGACTTAAGCCTCGAAGGTCTGGCCGCAGCACACCCTCGAGCTCTCCCTTGACGCTGTGCTGGCGGAGGCGAGGGCCGTGCCTGTGACCTCGTGTCAGCGGAGACTCAGGGGGTCACCGCGCCCTGCCCGTTGTCGCGAGGGGGATGTCAAAGGGAGGAGAGGAGTGAATGGGTTTCTCTTTCACACAGGTGGAATACTAATTCATTTTTTCTCCCTTTTATCGTCGTTATGCATGAAGCTGAAGGGTTTAGGTGTGTACAAATACACCAATACAAACACACACACACACACACACACACACACACACACACACACACACACACACACACACACACACACACACACACACACACACACACACACACACACTCACACTCACATCCATATAGATTACTCAGTGCACCTTGTTCCCTCGGAATCCCTCTCTCCTACAGCTGTCTCTTCTTCCTTCGCAGATCCTACAACTTGTTCGAGAATGAGGACGGTAGTGACGTCATACTGATGGTGGGCGACGAGGGGTATCGAGAGAGGGTCCCCGCCCACTCCTGGGTACTGGCGGCCGGGAACCAGTACTTCCGGGCCATGTTCCAGGGGCCCCTCGCCGACAGGCACAAGAAGACCTACGATATCCCCAATGACCCTAAGGGCTTTCAGAACCTCCTGAAGTAAGTGCGGCCCTGCTGACTGATTTTCTTTTATTATTATTATTATTATTATTATTATTCTCATTCCTGTGGGTGTGATTTTATTTTGGTGAAGAAGTCGAAGGGGGAAGAATTTTTAGAGACAATATTTATTTTTCATATTTACTCCAGTGGCTCAAAATTTTCTTAAATAAAAAAACTCGAAGGGGTGGAATTATGACAAAAAAAATTATAGGTCATGGTTTCAAATCCAAGACAGTTCTGCCTTGTCACAGCTCAGTCATTTTCCAAAGAACGTAGTTTCTTTACAGGGTTCTGGCAGCACAAAAGTTGCGAGGAGGAGGAGGAGGCGTTGATTATAAAAAGAGACGATGATGAATAACATGAAAAAGGAAAGATAGAAAAAAATAAAACAGAATACACACAAGAAATCAAGGATAGGTTAAGAATCTTAAACATAGCTGAGAAAAGCAGCAAACAAAATATATCTATCATTTTTCATCAGTAAAATGCATAACAATCTTTTTCATATTTAAAAAGAACTTGTTTACTCATACTATTAATGACCAAAATGCCTTTTATTTGATTTCTATGTTCATACTAAGACGAAATGTTGTCTGGCAGCAGAGAGCTTGAGGAGGAATTTGTATTTGTATATGAGACCTGATTATGCAATCTTACAAGCCAGATAATAAATTACAATTATCAGAGATTAAGAATTATTCATTTGATACAAAGATAACCTTATATATTTATTCATGTCTTGTTGTGCAAGATATAAGCTAACTAAAATATATATATATATATATATATATATATATATATATATATATATATATATATATATATATATTCCTTATAAGGAGAAGGAGAATATTCCTTAATTTTTATTTATTAATTTTTTTAATGGATATGATTGATGTCCCTTCACAATGTGTATTTCTGTTTTGTATGTAAGCAGCATGACTAAAAATTATGTGAACAGCAATGCATGAAGGAAAATGACTGAAATACCTATATACATATTTTTTACTGATGATCTTAAGAGTTATACTCATAATAAAATTGTTAAATCTTTTAACTTCACAGACTGAGTAAACTTTCATAAAGTAATTTACTTTCTTAAGTAGCATTGCTGTATAAGAAATACAAAGGATGGAGAAAAGCAGTTGAAATAATCATAGCTATTCTTATTAATGATCTCAGAAGTATTAAGCTAATCCATAAAAAAATAATAATAATTCCTTAGTTTTACCAATTTATTAAACTTCCATATAGTGTATGTATTTTTCTAGCATTGCTAAGAGTGTGTTTTCTTTCAGATGGTTATACCGTCATGAGTGTGGAATCCAGAGCATTGACAGTGCACTCATCACTCTCCAAGTTGCCATCCAGTATCTCTGCCCAGAATTGGCCGAGCTGTGTGTGGAGTACATTGGGAAGCACTTGACTGTTGGTAATGTTCTCAAGGTGCTACAGTACACTTGGCGTTACTGTCCCTCGCAGCAGTGCTCTGATCAGAGTCAGGCAAACCTCGACCCCTCGACTGCCCCATCTGCGCCCAGTCTAGAGGCCTTGGAAGGAAACTCCAGGCCAGAAACAAACAGTTATGGTGCCAATGACCCAAAGCCACACAGCACTTCCACCACACCATCCACAGTATGTCACAGTTTCAAGATATGATGGATGACTCAGAATTTCAGGATCCAACAGCCTGCTGCAGTGATTTATTCAATGTCTGTCTAGACGTAGTTGACAGAGGAACCCAGTCTGTCCTCGCTACAGAATTCTTAGAGGAACTCGACTCCACCACCCTTCAGCTCATCCTGAAGAGATCCACGCTGAACGTACCCAATGAACTGAAGGTGTTCCAGGCATTGCAACGGTGGTCAACGGCAGAGTGCAAGCGCCGCATGCTCCCCCTCACCCCTGACAACAGAAGAGCTGTGCTGGGCAACCTTTTATACCATGTACGATTTTTATGTATGAACAATGAGCAACTGCAACAGACTACAAGCCTTTTAACAGCAGATGAGTTCAATTATCTAGCTGCTCGCATCTCTGGTCACAATCCAGTGAAAGTGCCACCCACTCTCTCTCCGTACTTAGTAACAATGTCATCACCTCGCTGCCATAAGCCCATGGGGTTACTTCAGTCAGGCTCAAGTAGTACAGATGGCAAGAGCAAGAAAAAGAACAGCAGTGGCAAGAAAAAGTACACTAAAAAGGAGCTTGTGTTGGATGTCGTATCTTGTCTGGCAGTCTTGTTTGATTAGGTTTAGTTCCCATGGCTTCTCAGTCACAAAGATTTCTATTCTTAGAAATTGTTCTCAACTGTCTTCAATTCAACAAAAGTTATTAACCTCTGTGAGGGCATCTCTCTTATTTGTTTTAGATTTTCAATGGAAGTTTACTTGTCGTTTCATGGTAATTCTCATTGATACAAAATTACTATTTGTTAAAGAGTTTGACCACTGTTATAATTCCTTTGACCCGGTAGACAACAGGTGAACAGATTCTATTGTTGTAGCAAGTGAAATTTATTTGATTTGATAAGAGACCTTTTATTGTATAGATGTTAATTCCTTCATAATTTTATACATAGGAATAATTTTCAAAATGGCTCGTCCTAAGACGATGGGTAGTCATCTTGACAGTTTAGCAGAAAATGGAATACGAGGCACTTCAGAGAATGTGCTTTTTGTGATTAAGAAAAGAAAAGAATAATTATATATATAAATATAAAAAGTTGCCTTAACTTAAAACTTGTTAGATGTTCTGTGTGACTAAAGAAAAAAAATAAAAAAACTTTTTTTCTTTTTTGTATCATACTGCTTCTCTCTGTATAATCTATTGATATGTTGTATTGTGTTGACAGTTCATAGTCTAGTCATTTTTTTATACACACCAAGGGGTGGTAGCAAAACAAGCAAGGCTCAAGGGTTAGATTTATCAAGGAAAAGACGAATGCCTCCTTTCGTTAATCAGTAAGACAAGTTTATAATTCACTCTGTTGTGATAATCCCTTGAAATCCTAAGGTCACAAGGCTTTTTCTCTACAGACCTCCTCAATGTGTCTTCAACAGTTGTAATATGAGGCTTTGTGAACCCTTTGCCGAAAAATAATAAGTAAATAATAATAAACATATGAAAGAAAATCGAAATCCAATTGATGCTACACTTTTTCCTTCACCTAATCTTCTTTTTTCCCCCACCACCTCATGGCTTCCTCCTGTTTACTGGGAAATTCCTCTGATTTGTGTGCCGCTCGTGTAAAAAACTGATACATATTTTTAAGTGTGAAAATTCTCATAAATATTTATAGTTGATATAAGTTTCTGTATTTAATTTTTTTTCCTTTTTTTATCTACTTCTCATGAATGTGTATGAAATTCTAGCGGATATACCATATAAGGCATGGAATGTATAGAGACTTGTTTACTTAGTTGCCTAAGAATTTGTGTACATTTTATACAAACCTGTATGAATGTATGTGCAGGTGGATAATTTCAAGTGTGAAAACTGGACACTATATTGAGTCAAGAACATGAATGCCTCATGCTCTAAAAATAAATTTACAGTGAAATAACTGTATTTGGTATTCTACTTCATATCAAATTATGTGTATACAAACATGCATAGAAACACACATTAAATATTTAATTTTTGTTTTGTATTTCAACAAGAATTATTAATGAAAAAAAAAAAATGCTTGATGCATAAATGCATGAGAGGACTTTTTAAGGAAAACATTCTTCAAACTCTATATTTTACAGCCTTATTACTTTTTCTTAAAGAAGCATTTTTTATCTTATAAAACATTGATGTTAAATTTGTATGCATTTGTAGTTTGAATACTGTAAGGTTATATAGTATAGTTATGTCTGCTGTCACTCTGCCAAGACAGCATTTCAAAATTGACACTGTCCCCCCCCCCCCCTCTCTCTCTCTCTCTCTCTCTCTCTCTCTCTCTCTCTCTCTCTCTCTCTCTCTCTCTCTCTCTCTCTCTCTCTCTCTCTCTCTCTCAACCAAAGCTTTTTATTTTCATGGCATTTTTCATGGCACAAGAAGTTCTTGATGAAGAATAGATAAAATGATTACTTACAATTTTCCACAAATACAAAGTCTTCCTGGTAATTTGGTTTCATGCATATTGCTCAATTTCAAGTTTTGTTTTTCAACTTTCAAAAGTGCTCAGTGATGCAAAACAATGCAAATTTTGCTCTTGGTTTCAATTTCTCTCTCTTTCTCTTTCTATAGAAGTCTGTTTCATAAATATGTGGATAACTAGTACAATATCTTCCCATTTTCCATTCAATCTGAGTTCCCTTTCTTCACCTTTCATCTCTATTGTCATTCAATTAATTAAAAAGATGCTTTGCTCAGCAGTATTCTGACAATGACAAAACCAGTAATTTAGGATATATTCATGTGTCTATCAAGAAAATTCCACATGCACTGAATAGTTAACCAAAGAATTAATATGACATGAATTTTGCAATCAAGGCTTTCTACACAGGAAAAATAGAAATTCAGGAATAAAATAAAAGAAATAAAAAATCGGAGAAAATTGTTACTGATTACAATTCTGTTTGCATAAGTTAAATGACTGTAATTACAATGACACATTGCAGGTCTTTTGGTGCAGCAGACATATACATGTAATATGTACACTATGTAAGATGAAAGGGAAGATAACAATGTGTAAATTATGTAGTCTAATGGAACATTCTAAAGCCAAATTATTTCAAGCATTTTTCTCTGCATATTTTACTAAAAGACGGACTAAAATTACATGTACTTAAGCAAATAAGGAATCTGCTGAAAACAAAAAAGCTAATGCAACATCAATGTAACAGATATAAAATTTAATCTTTTACAAGCTTGGCGTTCATATTTTTAAATTTTGAAAGTAAACTCTAATTTTGAATACCAGTTGCTGTTTTATAGTCAATTTTTGGTTAGGAGTTTCTTAATGTTAATGATAAGCTTTGTTGATGTTGTACGTACATGACACAGACAACCAAAGGGAGGCAATATCGACCAGTTATTTTAGTAATGATTAGTGCTGTTCATGTTGAAAAGGTACTCCAATGCTATTATCACGCTCAGGTCTTGTGTTTGTGCTTCTCAATGACGTGTTTAGGAGAAACGTTTATCAGATAGGTTTAAACTTCAATATTTTCCAAGTCTACTTTTGACGTAGCAATGTTGGACACAGTGTATGAAAACCTGAGTTTGGATCTGTAAGCCAATTTTTAAAGTGACTCTAGAAAATACTTTTTTTATTATTTTTTTTTATTATTAGGCATTTTTACAAGTGTACTGAAAAGGAGAAAAAAATATATTGTCACCGTAAATAAAACAGGATAAATGACTGTTGTTTGTATCAATTTCCTTTGGTTTTACCTTCTTTATTTTCATGGACTGCAATAATTTATGAGTAGTGTTACTTAAAAGTAACAGGAAAGAGACAATAATAAGAAAAAAAGAATTATGGAATTTCCCATATACCAAAATAGATTTTTTAAAAATAATAAGATAAAATTATAATAATAACTGAAAGAAATTTGACGCATGCATAGTATCTGAACCCAATGGTGCCAGGTAATCACAGTGCCTCCCCTCGTTTTCTTTTGTGAATTTTGCTTGCAGATCGATGGCTCCGTAAGTGTTTCACCACGAAGGAGCCAATTAATAAGCCTATGTATCCTCAGTTGAATTCCCTTACCTTCAGCTTCTGGGATTTTTTTTTCTAAAGCTAATAGTATTGATGTTGTCATTATTGCTGTTGACATAATTACCATAGCATTATTAACAATATTAATAGCAATAGCAAGTAAAATCTTTCCAAAAATCAAGGAAAAGGCTAAACGGGTCAGCTACATAGGACTAGTATTTGACTCCTTGGTGATTTAGTACTTGCGGAGCCATCTATATGTAATGACAATCAATAAACAAAAAGACAGGGCACTGGACATTGGACAGGGAATGTACTCTTGCCATTTGGGTGACAAAAGATTAAATGGAAAATGCTTATGAATGAAATTTCATGCTATGAAAAAAATAAAATAAAATGAAAATTTTGAATGATTTGACGCTTTGCTGAGAAAATATATATCATATCCTGTGTACTGAAGATGACAGAAGGTTGATTTTTTTATATACAGTGATAAATTGTAGAGAGATTTAATTTCCAAAATAACACAGAATTAGTTCAAGCATGCACATAAAAACATTGACAAAAGCATACAAAACAGCCAGACTTATTATGATCAAAAGTTTCCACAAACTATTACACACTGAATATCAGGCCCAAAATTTCATGTTGTTATGGATACCACATGCAAAATTTCAGCAAAATTACTAAGCTACCCACATATATATCAAATTTAGATATCAATAGCTGGCTCTTTGTTCATCATACCCTGGTATAATTTGATAAAAAACTTATCTTGTATTCACAATTTGTCCAATACCTATATCTTATTTCTGGAACATATGTATAATGAACTCTGAAATTTACCTAAATTATTCATAATTCTATCCAAAGACTGAAATACTGAAGTTAACATTTTTTAACAGAATAATAATGTTTATGAATATTCAAATGCTGAATACATACACAAAAAAAAATCTGTACAGGAAGTGAATTAAACAATTTATATAAGGACATCAAGAGTTTATTCAAGATAACGATAACCTGTAAGT